CACGGTGGGGGAGAGTGTCCTTTGGGAAGGCATCTGGTCTCACTGCAAAGCTCAGCAGACGCTGCGCTCACCAGAAACCAAGGAATGTTTTCATAAAGGGCTTTAAGCTTTCAAAGCTTGTTTTCCCTCTGAGGGGTAATGTAACTCACCCTTTCATTTAGAGATCCCCAGAAAATCATCCATCCCAAAATAATATCCCTCCTTCAAATGAGGCAGAACATGAACTCAGGCTGGGTCTGCGTTCCCAGGCGAGCACCCTGCCCACAAATTGCTGGTTACTCGCTCGGTGTCTCATTCTGCACAGAAACTGCAGGAACTGAGCTTTCCCCATAAGGAAAAGCCAAATCCCATCTGCCTCCATCAGACACTTCTGCCACCCCGAGAGAACGTCTGAAAACACTTCATCTCCGAGGTCTGTCTTCAGCCCCTCTGTAGGAGGACCCCCTTTGGTGGCAGAGAAGTCCTGCCCTGCCCAGAAGCTGAGCTCTCCCCATCCTGCCAGCAGCCAGGAGGCAATAAGGATGGAGCAGGTCAGCACTGGGGGACTGGGAAGAGGACAAGCAGGGTCCCGTGGGGTCCAGAAGATTAGAGAGGCTAGGGGGGAGACACAGAAAACCCCGTCCCCAGCCTAGAAAGCCCATCCTGCCATGGGAGACCTGAGAAGCCCAGGCTGCTCACCGTGCCACAAAGATCGAGACTGACTTGATTGCAGGGTTGAAATAGCGAAGGACTTACTGATCAAGAAGCACAGAAAGGGTAGAAGCAGCAGTAGCTGGAAGCTGTAACCAACCTCTTCTAATGTGAAAAATAAAAACCAGAAAACTACCTTTAACAGCATGGGTATTCACCACTGAGAACAACTGTTGGAGTGATGGGGGTTCTCCAATTCTTGGTGCAGAAACTGCAGCCTGGATGCTTTCCGTAGGAAGGGGTTTAACAAAACAAAGCTTTTGGGATCAGTTTAGGAGCTGACACCAGTTGGCTGCAATGTGCAGGAGACGAGACAATATGCAGAGCTTTGCTCTGCTCTGGCCAGCCATGGAGGGACCTCTGGGACTCCTCTCTGGGGCCATGGGAGAAGCAGGAGAGGAAATGCAGCTGAGCAGTCAATGTTTGCATTTGCTGGAAGTCGTGAGAGCCAGAAGATGCTTTGGGTTGGGTAAGCTGTTCCGGCAGCTGGCAGAGAGCTGCAGGAGCACTTTGCCAAATGAAGCTTGTTCAACCTGTGCTGACAGCTTGTTCTGAGCTAAAGCAGGTTAGACTTTGTGACTTCATGACGTGCAGATGGTTTTCTTAAAAGGCTCTTGCAGTTAAAAAAGTTTTGCTTGGTTCTAGGTGGTAGATGGCTGGGAATTATCCCCCCACCTCCTCTGGGAGAGCTGTACAGTATCTGACTGAAATATGTCCTTGCAAATAGACTAAACTAGAATTCATCTAAATCATATTTGAGTCCACAGCACAACCCCTGCATCCCAGCTGTCTGTTCCCTCTCCCTCCTTACCCTTCTCCGGGCTAGATACGCTGTGATGCAGAGTCCACTGTGCCAACAGCATCCTTAAAGTGACCCTAAAGGGCACGTTAGCCCCCAACACCCCAGGGCAGCAGGACAAATCTGCCATCAGAAATAAATTTTCTTCCTGTTCACAGACCACTCTAGGGCACAGAAAACTTAACTCAGCCCCGCGTTTTCCTAGGCTCGGCCCGAAATTGG